CATCATCTTCAGTCTTACACACCTCACCTCCATACCGTTACTTCACTATAAACTCACAGTCCGAACCTTCTCATCTCGCTACAAGACCTCAATCGACAAGTTTTCATCCAACCGTAACCACCACCAACATCAAACAAACCCTCATAATGGCACCCATCAGAATCGGCATCATCGGCCTCTCCTCAACCGCAACAACAGCCTGGGCCTCAAGCGCCCACCTCCCCTACCTCCTCTCTCCGCGCGGCCGCTCCAAATACACAATCACAGCCCTCTGCAACTCGAGCGTCGAAGCCGCCCAGCGCGCAGTGAAAGCCTATAACCTCCCCTCCTCCACCAAGGCCTACGGCAGCCCCGCCGACCTGGCCGCGGACCCGGACGTGGACCTCGTCGTCGTCTCGACGCGGGTCGATCAGCACTACGACACGGCTCTTTCCAGCGTCGAGGCGGGTAAGAGTGTGTACGTCGAGTGGCCTCTCGCGCAGGACGCGAAGCGCGCGGGTGAGCTGGCGGATGCGGCGAGGAGGCGCGGGGCAAGGACGGTGGTGGGTGTCCAGGGAAGATTTGCGCCGTCGCTGTTGAAGGTAAAGGAGATCTTGGAGGAGGGGAGGATTGGAAAGGTGTTGAGTAGTGAGGTGAGGGCGGCGGGTGGTTCGTTGGATCGGAATGTTTTGCCGGCTGGGTTGAAGTACTTCACTCAGCGTGAGGTTGGAGGGAATGTGATCACCATCGGTTTTGGTCACTGTGAGTTCATTTCTTTGCCCTTGACATGGGAATCTCACCCATTGCTAACATGAGCGTTCAGTGTTTGACCAGATCCAGCACGTCCTAGGCGAGGCGACCATCCAACACTCGCACACCCAAATCCAACGCCCCGACGTCAAGATCCGCGACCCGTCAACGAAGCAAATCACCGGGACGGTCTCAAGCAACGTGCCCGACCTCCTCGTTGCGACAGCGACCCTCCCACCCTCAAACTTCGTCTCCGCCCAAGGCGCCACGCTCCTCGCGCGGTTCCGACGGGGTCAGCCCTTCGCCGGCGAGCCGCAGCTCTCGTGGACCGTCAACGGCGAAAAGGGCGAGATCCGGCTGACGTCGCAGAACAGCGTCGCGCTGCAGGCCTTTGCGGACGTGGACGGCGTCAAGATTGAGGTTCAAGACTTTGAGAGCGGCGAGGTGGAGAGTGTGCCGTGGGCGTGGGAGGAGGGGTGGCAGGCTGAGTTGCCTGTGCCGGCGAGATGTGTCGGGGCGGTTTATGAGGCTTTTGCGGAGGGTGAGAGTTTGCCTAGTTTTGAGGATGCTGTGAGGCGGCATGAGCAGGTTGATGGGATTCTCTACAAGTCTGGGTGAGTGAGATGGCTTATATTAGTGTGTAGGCTCATGGTCTTGTCCCGGGGCAGGGAACCAACTGAGGTGTTTTATCTAAGTATGATGAGAAATGTGATCTGCTTCTTCATCGCTCAAGTCACTATTCAACGTTTAGTATTGTGCTGTTTGAGATGTCTTGTGTTCTTAAACTCACTTCATGTTTTGACGTTCACGCTCACTCTCGGTTGAGTCATCCGGCGGCGGCACTAACACGCAGTTAGGCAGACAGTTGCCTTCAAAGTCAGCCTCACTTCTACATCACCCAACACATATAAGCTATGCAAACCTACCACCCCTTACGAACAGCATACAAGCTTCAAATTCAAAGAATCAGTTTGAACCTTACATCTGTAATCACCATGAACACATCGCCAATCTACTTTTGGCGGGAAACGGGGCATGAAGGCTACCTCTCCCAATGGTGGACCTCCAACCCCTTCACCCAATCTCCCTCTCCCTCTTCATCCTCATCCTCGTCCCCATCCTCACCTTCAACCTCCTCCACACCCATAACATTCAAAACAGCAGAACACTACATGATGCACGCCAAAGCCCTCCTCTTCACCGACCCCACCGTCGCCCTATCCATCCTCAAAGCAGACCACCCGCGCAAAGTCAAAGCCCTCGGCCGCAAAGTGCGCAACTTCAACGAAGCGCTGTGGAACGAGAACAGAGAGCGCATCGTCCGCGAGGGCAATCTCCTGAAGTTCCGGTCGGCGCCAGAGTTGCGGAAGAAGTTGCTGGCGACGGGGGATAGGGAGCTGGTGGAGGCGAGTCCGATGGATCGGATCTGGGGGATCGGGTTCTCGCCGGATAAGGCACCGGGTTCGGATCGGGGACGGTGGGGGTTGAATTTGCTGGGTAAGATTTTGATGGAGGTTCGGACGGTGTTGAGAGAGGAGGCAGAGGTGGAGGAGGAGAGGAAGAAGAGGAAGAGGGAAGTTGTCGAGGCTGAAGCGAAGAGGAGGCGGAGCTCTGAAGAAAGGGAAGGCAGTCAAGTTGTAGACGAAGGGGCTGTTAAAAAGTTGAGACGAGGAGAGGAAGATGCAGGATCCGTCAAGACGGCAAATGACACGGCTAAAGGGGGACAGTAATGATGGGGTGAGGACATTCTCAGTTCTCGTTTGGTATTACATCGCGAAGTATGGGTAATCGCCTCGTCTACATGAAAGACACATTTTTTCCTTCTACACGTACACATATAGCCTTCAGGAGCGGTGTTGGTTTTTGTCTTTCCTCCCCCTTTGGCCACACTTCACATTGTGGCAACGTCGCGTCCAATGTTCGCCAGTCCCATATGCCCCCCAGTATCTATTTTGTACAAGTAATAAAACACTTTTTTGTCGGCTGAAGATTTTTAGCGAGAAGGGGGCTCCTTTGTAGGTTGTTAATTCATCATCCAAACATCTTCTTCGCTTATGAGAAGTACCGCCCCCTTGAAAAGTTGGGAGTGGTGGGTTATGATAGTAGTGTTGTTGTTGTTGGTGGTAGTTTTGGTTTAGTAGTAGTCCTTTCCGCTCTTCTGCATCTCAATGAGACGCCATCCTCTCGTCTCAGGGTTGCTGACATCCTCTGGTACGCGGGTGATACCGATGGCGTACGTCACCAGCTGCACCTTATCCTCCATGCCGGCCGCGAGCTCGCCAGACTTTGCGTTGCGGTAGACGTGCACCTCTTGTGTCCTGCAGGTGATGACGAAGACGGGGATTTCACCGGGGTCCAGCATGCGGGCGCGGACAATGTCGACGTGGCGGATATCGAGGATCTTGCCGTCCGACTTGAGGCCGGCGGTAAGGTACTGCTTCGTCAGGGCCTCGTACACGGAGTACTGGGCCTCGGAGAGCCAGAGCTTGAGGGTCTCGATGTCGCCCTTGACGTAGGCGTCGAGAACCTCGGGCAAAATGTATTCGCGGAGCTCCTTCAAGAAGGGCTCCGTTCGGAAGCTGGGGTCCATTGTGCGGAACTTCTTGATGACCTGGGCCGTCTCATTCTCGGCGAACCATCCTCCAATCTTGTCCGTGACGAGTCGCGCGGTCTCGATGAGGGGGTTTTCGGATTCGCGATAGACCTTGCCGGCGCTGAAGAAGCCCTGGGCGAACTTGTTCGAGTCCTTGAACTCGTTCCACGCCTCCTTCCAGGCGGCGTCCTTGTGAATCGTGACGTTTGTGCCGGCGCTTCATCACAGTCAGTTGGGAGTTCCGGACCTGCAGGTAATCCGCTTTTTCGAAAACTTACTTGGGGTCTTCCTCAAAGATCTCTGGCTTGCCGTGCTTAAGCGCCTCGGCCTCGCGCTTCTTCCTACGCTCCTCCTTCTCAACCCAGCCACCGTAGCGCGAGCTGCTGCCGTCATCGATAACGTCCTTGACGTTCTTGTAGGCCTCGGTTTCGCGGATGGGCTTGGTCGCCTTGTCGAGCGCGTCTCCCGTCACGTTAGCGACCTTGCGGACGCCCTTCATGGCGGTGGTATCCCAGGTCCATGCGGCACCCTTTCCGATGGCGCCAGCAGTGGTCTTGACGGCGCTCGTCGCAGCAGAAGAGATGGCGCCAGAAGACTTCTCATAGGCCTCGCGGGCTTTGCGGACTCTCTCGCTCTCGGCAAAGTCCTGGATCTCGCCAGACAATGCCTTTGTCGACTCGTTCCACTCCTTGGACTTGCCAAACTCGGCCGTCAGAGTCTCTCTGAAGACCTCCCACGGCGTCTTGTCCCCGTGGGGCGGAGGAGGCGGCATGTCCTCCTTCTTCTCCTTTTGCTTCTCTTCGCCTTCCTTACCCTCCTCTCCCTCGGCCTTCTCGCCCTCCTTCTTCTCGGATGACTCCTCCTTGCCCTCAGACTCGGCGTCCTTGGCCTTGGCTTCCTCGGTGGGCTTCGCGGTATCCTCGGCAGGCTTTGCACCGTCTTCGGTTGCCTTGGGCTTCTCGGTCTGCTGCTGCTGGAGCTGTCTGGCCGTCAGGTGGAAAGACCTGGATTGCATCGAGCTCGAGATGCTGCGGACATCTTCAGGGAGAAACTGTGATCGCAATGAGGTGGGTCGTGCAAAGGTGTGTCGTGATGAGACCAGCACAGCGTTACCACTGATGTCTGTGGAAAGTAACCGGCTGAAGGCGGGTGTCCTGCTGTGGTTTTGGACCGCCGCCCGCGCGGAAGCTCTTACGAGCGCATTCTGAGGATTTCTCCTCGCCGATTGCACGAGAGAGTTCATACTGTGTGTGTGTGTGTGTGTAGTATAACCCAAGCCAACCGCCTCTCGACGATAAACGCAAAAGAGGATCTTAGGAAAAAGAGAGGGAGGAGAGGGGCGGAAAGGGGATGCAGATGACGATTGGGGGCGAGTAAAGTTGCAAAGAAATTTTGGCTCGCGACAGGTTCCGACGGGGTTCCAGAAGCTCTGGCGCTGCAGTGCTGGGCGAGCGATCTCGGTTGACAGCGGAGCGCGGAAAAAATCTGGGCCCCTGTTCAACCGAAGACGACCCGGCGCGCCACTCGGGAGCCAATCAGATAGCGGCAATGTCTCCAGACGTTCTAACGGGAGCTTTACCAAATTTCTGAAATCTTCATTGCAGCTGGGCCATCATCGTCACGGACAGGTCGCCCTCTCTCCCCCTATTGCGACAGGAAGCCTGATACAACTCCTGCGATGAGCTCCGCACCGACGACTCGCCTCTTGGCGAGATCCATCTTCCAGACTGCCGCCCGTCCATCCCCGATAGCACGATGCTCCCCGGCATTCCTCCGACCCTTCTCTCAGACCCCGATTCAGCGCGCCGACGATGCGAAGAAAGGAGGCCAGGAGCTTCTCGCTGCCATGTACGGCTCCCGCTCCACAGCCTCAACACCGGCACCGACACAGGGAACTAGCTCGCCCAGCCACAACCAGACAATGCTTCTCCAAACCCTGAACAAGGCCGCCGGCAAGTCGCTAGATGGCGGTCTCGCCTCAAGCGGCTCAGGCCTCGACGACCTTGTTCCCGAACAGGAGGACCTCTTGGAGCCGTACCACATGCACATCTACTCCCACAAGCACAACACGCATGTGACGGTCACGAAGCCCGACCGTGGCGCCATCATCTCCCTGTCGACCGGCAACATCGGCTTCAAGAAGTCCAAGAGGAAAGGATACGACGCCGCCTACCAATTGACGGCATACGTCCTCGAGAGGTTGAACTACGCTGGATGGCACAAGAAGATCAACAAGCTCGAGATCGTGCTCAGAGGATTCGGTGTTGGACGTGACGCGGCAGTCAAGGTTCTCATGGCCCCCGAGGGTAAGCTTTGGAGAAGCAAGGTCATTCGGGTGGCGGATTCAACGAGATTGAAATTTGGTGGAACGAGGAGCAAGAACCCAAGACGTGTCTAGAAAGGGGGTACGCTGTCTGGAGTTCGCGGGGGAAGAACAACGCAACAACGCCTGTACAATACATGTACAACTGTATCATATCACAAGAGCATATTTCCTTGCATTCTGATGGTTTCATATCAAAAATGCAGATGTCCAACCCCACTGGTATCAAGTGCTGTACGCCCATTAAACCCAAACGCCAGACCTTTGTAACGCCAAACATACCGCATACCCTGATGTAGAGAATCGACGACGACGACCTCTACTTTCGAACCGGAGCCCTTTCGGCAGCAGGTAGGTCGCGACCCGCAGTATCCCGTACGGCCTTCTTGCCCTTGCCGTTGCCGCCGCGGCGTCGTTCCTCCTCGCTATCCCAATCGGCGTCCTCCGCTTGACCCTTGGAGTTCTCGGTGAGGAACCTCGGTGGCGATTGCTTCAGCATCCTAGAGCCTTCGTGAGCACGATCATCCTCCTCCTCCTCTTCCAGAAGTGCGCCGTCGGCGGTATCGTACTCGGGTGGGTCGATCCAGTCCCTAGGAACAACGCAGGGTAATGCGACACCGATGCTTGCCGCACGGTTCAGCCAGCCGGGACCGGGACGGCCGGTAAGCTTTCTGCAGAGATAGGAAGTGAAGTGGTTGCAATTTTTCGTCAAGAGGTTATAGGAGGTTCCGAGGAAGTCTCTCGAGGCTTCTTCCAGAATCGCATCGATCTCGGCCTGGGTTGCAAAGGTAAAGCCGTGGAGGATCTCGGACTTGAAAGTGCCGCCGGGGGGCTCCGTCTTGGGCTTTGTCCAGTATACTCCCGTCACACCTCGTCGCTCGTGCCCGCCGTAGGCGTACTCTCTGCCATTGATCACAACACCCGAGTGCAGTAGTGAAGCGCCAAATGTCCAAAGAACAGAGGATAGGCGTCCTGGCTGTAGTCACTTTGTTAGCTGGGCTGGCGGTGACGGAACCAAGCTGTCGGTTCGGTGGGTCCGAGCAACTTACAGGTAGCAGATCATAGACATGGATTGTGACTTCGGTTTTGGATAATGACAATGTCGACCTATGCGACGCGGTAGACTGCCTGGGATTGCTCGATCGTGGAGGCATGTTTTTCTGCAATTTGTCGGGTGAGGTGTTTTTGTAGGTTGCGGGTGCTGCTGCCTTTTTGGCGTATTCCAGGTTACGTCGTGAGAGCCTGGGCAGCTGAGAGTCGGGTGGGAGGGGCGCGGCGTTGTTGGAGAAGATGAGACGAGGCACGAAACGGGGAAGAGGGCCAGTCTGGGGAATAAATGCGCTTAGGGAATACTTTCGAGGACACGAGATATGGGGGATGTTTCAGTGAATGAAGGACGCAAATACAATGAATTAGGCTGGCTGCAGAATGAACAGAAACGTTTGACGGAACTCGCGACGAGAAGGAGACGGAAGCAAACGCAATGCACCCGGCAAAGAACCTCAAGGCAGGTCTCGTAGCTTAGGTTCCTTGGGCTTGGCTCGGGCGGTGCTCGGCGCTGAGAAAGCGGGCGTCAGCAGAAAGGCAAAGTGCTGCATTGAACAACATCAAGGAGCCTGGAGGTTGCTGGTTGATGGGAGCTTGAAGGTAAGGTCAGGTACTTGGGCAGCCAGACTTGGGCCATAGAAATCGGGTGGTGGTATGCGGGATGCACAAGTACTCTTCACTGCAAGCGGGTTGAGCCAATTGCGATCCAATAGGATGCAAGGAATGAAGTCAGAGGTGGCTCCCAGCCCCGCGCTTTCCTCCAGCTTCCTTCGGGCTTCGAGCTTCCCAGCTGGGTTGCGTGGTTGCTGGGATCGTTCCTGCCTTGCTTCCACTGTTCAGTGGTGCTGTCAGCGCCTTCCAGGTTTAGGTGGTGGCGGCGCGACGGCGGAATAGAAACGCCGGGATGGAAGTTGGCCCCCTTCAGGTACCTGGGCCCCGTTTTTGGTGGGGCACATTAAAATTCATCTAACAAGGCCGGCCACAACACCTCTGTCGCGAAAGCTTTTTCTTCTCGATCAAACAATCTGCGAGGTTTCTCTTCCTCTTTCTACTCTCTTCTCTCTCTACCGCTCTGCTCTCTGAGTCGTCGGGCAAATCCGCGTGATTGAGGGCTGGTCACACAGCCAAGAGTCGCCAAAACGACGTCCTTCATCCTCCTCCCTTCTTCCTTCACTTCTAAATCTCCCTCTTTGCTACCCCGCGCAGCTAGCTCTGCCTTTCGCCAAGCTCAAGTGCTTCACTGCACTTTACTCTACACCACCACACGTCACTACGCAAAATCAAGACGCACAATGCCTCCCAAGAAGCAAGTCGTCGAGGAGAAGATCCTCCTGGGCAGGCCCGGTAACAACCTGAAGAGTGGAATTGTGGGTGCTGCGCCTTGAGCCTTCGCTTTCGCCTTGGCCTTAGAACCTGTCCGGGATCAGGCTGACCCCCCTTCTCTTCTCTTCAGGTTGGCCTTGCAAACGTTGGAAAGTCCACCCTCTTCCAGGCCATTACCAAGTGCAACCTGGGAAACCCAGCCAACTTCCCCTACGCCACCATCGACCCTGAGGAGGCACGTGTCATCGTCCCCGATGAGCGCTATGATTGGCTTTGCGAAAAGTACAATCCCAAGTCGCGCGTGCCTGCCAACCTTACGGTGTACGATATCGCTGGTCTGACGAGAGGTGCCTCCACTGGCGCTGGTCTTGGTAACGCCTTCTTGTCGCACATTCGCGCCGTCGATGCCATCTTCCAGGTCGTTCGTTGCTTCGACGATGCCGAGATTATCCACGTCGAGGGTGACGTCAACCCTACCCGTGATCTCGACATCATCAGCGACGAGCTGCGGTTGAAGGATATTGAGTTCACCGAGAAGGCCCTCGAGAACCAGAAGAAGAAGACTCGCTCTGGTGGCAAGGGCCTCGAGCACAAGAAGGCTATGGAGGAGCAGGCTACCATTGAGAAGATCCTTCAGCACTTGAAGGACGGCAATGAAGTCCGCAAGGGTACCTGGGGCCCCAAGGAGGTAAGATTGACAACTACATTTCTTTTCCCCATCCCACGCCTCTCGTCACATGATGACAAAGGATCTAAGATCCGAACTATAAACCCAGCTCTTCGAATGCTACGGCATATTGAGACAAAAAACCCATTCTGATTTGACACAACTCCCTCATACAATCTTGTTGCAAAACACTTGTGAGAGAAAACCATTTCTGACAAAAACGACAGATCGAGGTCATCAACCCCTTGTTCCTCCTTACCGCCAAGCCCGTCGTCTACTTGGTCAACCTCTCGGAGAAGGACTTCATTCGCAAAAAGAACAAGTACCTTCCCAAGGTTGCCGAGTGGGTTAAGGAGCACGCCCAAGGCGACCCCATCATCCCCATCTCCGTCTCTTTCGAGGAGCGTCTGACCCGCTACGAGACTGAGGCCGAGTCCAAGGAGGAGCAGAAGAACGTTGGCGCCGAGTCCGCTCTGCCCAAGATCGTTCTTCAGATGCGCAAGGTCCTCAACCTTGGCAGCTTCTTCACCACCGGCACGGACGAAGTCCGCCAGTGGACTCTCCGCAACGGCACCAAGGCGCCCCAGGCTGCTGGTGTCATTCACACCGACTTTGAAAAGACCTTTATTCAAGTCCTCGTCTACAACTTCACCACGCTGAAGGAGCTCGGCACTGAAGCCGAGGTCAAGGCTAAGGGCAAGGTGATGACGAAGGGCAAGGACTACGTTGTGGAAGATGGAGACATCTTGCTCATCAAGGCCGGTGCTGCCAAGGGTTAGAGAACGAATATCTGATGGAAACTTGAGATATTGGGAATGGTTAAAAGCTCTGCCTTTTCGGTTTAGATATCACTGCCCGTTAATAGAGGTCCTTTGCCACCATAGGCTGCCAGATATGAGATGTGTGAAATTTGTGAGATCAAGGGTGAAATACTGCAATGAAAAATGTTGTACATATGAAGTACTTTAAATAAGAGCCATGTGCTTGTTTCCTGGCTGCTTGTGTCCCTTAATCGCATAAAGGGGGGTTCCCCCGACCCAGCTTCTGAGCGACCGCAGCACAGACCAATTGGCTTCGATACCTGCTGAGCTTCATTTAGGTTCAAAGTGCTGCTGTATGTTCTCTCCAACAACACCTTTGAGATCCCTTCAACCTTCGATACGATGTCTCAACCTCCAATAAATCGTGGGCATGGACGAAACATATCAGTGACGAGGCGTGAGTGCTTATCATCCACCATGTTAAAACCTCCAACTTTAGAGCCCGCTTTCTTCTCATTCTAGGTGTATCTCATCACCCTGGCCCTGGCAGAAGCTATGGCCTATAGCTCATGAATGAGACTGAAAATGAGGGAGGGAGTGTCACCGAATCTTCACTAATACGTTTCGTACAGCGGTTCGTCCACGGTCCTCGACTAAGGGTCCGCTCGACCTGGACGAGTGAGTTTTACTTCTCATATTGCCATGTTGGCCTTCTCTGACAGGCTTTAAGCACTCCTCTGAATGACCCGTTGTCACCAAAAGCCGCCGCCACAGAAGACACGACGCAGCAACGCCCAATATCAGGACAACGCTCGCCAGCGCTGCCTCACTCTCCCGCCGCTCCGCCCGTGAAGACAACCGTCACCAAGGACTTTGGCTTCCTCCTGCGGCCCGAGATCTACCACACCATCCAACCCGTCAACGTCCCGGTCGCATTCAGGAACTCGTCCAAGCAGCCGCCGGCCGATGCTCCGCTCGAAGACCTGCTGGCAAAGGGCCACTTCCGCGCCGCCGCCATTGCCGCGGTCCAGGAGCTGACGGCCACGGGCAGCCCAGGCCGGCCGCGGGTCGCACCGTCGGATCACCAGAGGATATTTAGCCTGCTGTACACGCGGCTGGCGTGCCTGACGCTCATCGACGCGACGGCGGTGGCGGCGCAGGAGGTGAGGGCGCTGGAAGATTTGAATGCAGGCGTCTACATTGACGAGACCACGGGCGAGCACTTGGTGCCCTGGGAGCTGCGCGTGCTCAACGTACGGCTACAGGCTCTCGGGTTCAGCGACCCGCGCAGGTCCGTCATGAGCTACCACGACCTGGCGCGGGAGGCGCGCGAGCAGATCAGCAAGGCGACGGCACGGCACGATAACTCGGCGAGGGAGCTCTGGAAGGCGCGGCTGCAGGATCTGGGCGTTGCTGTCGCGGGCGCGCTGGTGGAGATGGATGACCCCGCCGGCGCGGCGCATCACTTGGCTACGCTCAAGGACCGCGGGAACGGAAAGATGGCGCTGTCGAGGGCCCTGTTGTGGCTTCACTTGGGGGATGCGGACGCGGCGAGGCGCTGCGTTGTGCCAGGGGAGGGTTCTGGGGAGGACGGGAAGCATGCTGAGACGGTTGTGGGCGCGCTTTGTCAGATGGCTGATGGGGAGTATGAGGCGGCGCTTGCGACCTGGAGAGGGCTGAGGGAGGAAGTTGCGGATGAGATGATTGGTGTCAACATGGCGGTGTGTCTTCTTTACACTGGCAAGTTGACAGAGGTGAGTGCTTTTCCTTCTCGGGCCTTTTCCCTCGTTCTCGTGTTGTTACTTGTGGTCTCATTTCATGACACACATTTCGTGGAAACTCTAGCATGACAAAGACGGCTGACAACCAGCTATACATCAGGCACGAGCCATTCTTGAGGACATGGTCGGATCCGGCTACTCATCGCACACTCTCTTGTTTAACCTCAGCACAACCTACGAACTCTGCACGGAGCGGAATCGGAACCTGAAGGTGAGGCTCGTTGATAAGGTGGCCGATCTGGAGGAGACTTCAAGAGGTTGGGAGAAGAACAATGCCGACTTTAAGTTGTAAAATCGCAAAGGAAATAAAAGTATAGCTTCGTGATGATCCTCCGAGCCAATGAGCCTATGGAGCATACCGTAAGGTAGGATAGGATTGTCATGTATTACTGTGCAAGCCTCATGTCCGTGTGGTCCCCGAAAACGGACTTGCCCAATTGTAGCCATCCTAGCAGATGACACCCCTGTCGGTTCAATGAACCAAGTCTCCGCACTGGCATGCACAGTCGGGGACCGGACTTGCTTACAACGCTTACCAAGATGCTTACCTACGAGACTTGCATGCTTTTGCAGACTGACAAACCGTACAGTCAACACCAGACGAAGTGCAGGTCGGCCGCTGGAGGGAAGCCAAGTCTTTTTGCGGCGGGGGGGAGTGATGCGAATACGGTTCTGATTTGTGTTCAGATGTTCAGATGGTGAGGTGATGTAAAAAGGATGGATGTTCCCGCGGTTTCCGGCGTCGGGCGGTCAAGTTTTTGAGGCTGGAACTTGTGGTGTTCTTATTAGAGACATCGCCGGTGGAAGTTCTCACGAGCCACGCAAGTCCTACTTTATTGATCGACTGCGTAGTCGACGACTGAACAGGTAGAGATCGACTCACACAATCAGAGGCACATTTTCAATTTTTCAGTTCAATTCAAAACGACATGGAGTCGAGAACCTTTCAGGAGCGAACTCTTCACCTGCTTGAGAGGATCGCAGAATCTCAGACGGCATTAGAAGCGCGCCTAGCCACAATGGAGACGATGCTCTCCCACCACAACACGCAGCCGCCGCAACACCTATCTTTTCCACAATTCCGCCAGCTGCCTCCCGAACTACGACTCCGGGTCTGGTCCCTCGTCGCCATTCCATCACGGGTTCTGCGTCTAGACGCACGGGATGGGAAGAAGACGAAGTCACACAAGTCAGGATCTCCGCCGCCGCTGTTACGACCGCCCGCCATCGCCGGAGCGTGTCGTGAGTCGCGGGCCGTGGCGACGAAGCATGGCGCGCTGGCGAGGCTCACGTACGAGGGGGGCGAGATGGGCAAGGGGGGGAGGACGCGGTGTTATTGGTTTGATGGGGATCGCGATGTGCTGGAGTTGGATAGCTGGGTTGACGTCGAGGGTGACCAGCCGCGGGGCATTAGAGGACTTGTACAGAGGGCGAGGCATGTTCTCGTGGGTCGTGCTGAGGCGGAGTGGTATGCCCGCCTGTTCGAGCGCGCGGCGCTGGTGAAGCGCGTGAGTTTGAAGTTTGATGTGTTGGGTGTACGGTGTAGCACGCATGGCCGGGACGCCGTGAGACGTATGTTTGGCGGAGGCGGGGCTGAGACTACGATCGTTGTCACGGACTTGGAGGACGCGGATGAGATTGCGCGTGTGAAAAGCGAGTTGGGCTCTGGATGGCGGAACCCGGTGTTTTTGGAGTTTGATCTGGAGCTTTGGGCGAGGAGCGGGACGGAGAGGGTCGGACGGGCTGTGAGGGATGAGAAGTGGATGAGGAGGTTGAATGGGACTTGGGCGAGCGAGGTTGCGAGGGGGTGGGTTATGGCTCGGGCTGGGGCGTCTATACTAGCCAATGACGGCGGTAGAGGGGATGGGGGTGATCAAGAGGAAGATGGAGTGAGAGTTACGAGTGACAAGGGAGCCTCAGAGATGAAGTTACGGATTGCGAAGGCGACGGCGTTAGATGTCGAGGATGAGTATGTAAGGCAGGCGCTTTTGGGTATGCCCGAGGTCAGGTTTGTGAGAGCATATTGTCTTGATGAAGACTACAATGCCTGTTGTTCATAGCAAAGCAGCCTTTGTTATCTTTGGATTTTAACTACCGCCTTTCAGCGAGACCTTGCGGCTATGAGCTTCACGCTGACTTCAGTCTCGTCCCCGTTCCATCAAGCCCATTCGGCCGTCAATTCTCCCGCTGCTCTAGAAGGCTTCTAAGAACCACATATGCACCTTTACCTCGGACCTCTGCCTCTCTAATACTATAGACGGAATCAAGGAGCAAAAGCTTCAAGTCAAGGCTTCTGTCGAGAGGAGAAACATGTGCACGAGGCTGTGCTCGTCTAACCGTTGCTTCATAGAGGCATTACACCGAAGGCAAGCCGGTACTGTTCAGACTGTAAGCCAAACTCCATTCGTCTGACCTCCAGAATTCGAAATGTGTTGGGTTTTCACGGTCACCATTCATCCGAAGTGCTAGTACCTCCCAGACATAGCTTCCAGCCGGCACAAATGTCCTGTTGTTCTCTGAGCCACCCCAGAACCACGCTGCCGTCATTGGCTCCGCGTCTGTTCCGACGGTGTCGTTGTGGAATGGCGCTTCGCCAGTCTTGGTGTTCACCATAGAATAAGTGACTAGCCTACTCCTTACAACTTGCTGGAAGGCGAATCCGGGATATATGCCATCAGGATAGGCGATGGGGTTCTCGTCGATGCCGACGCTGGCGTTGTAGGTGGCATTGAATATCCTTCCGGGCTCAACTTCGATGAATGCGAAGTCCGGCAGCCTGACTCCAATCAGTTTGGTCTGAGTCCGATCAATGATGGGTAAGTTGAGCAGCGATCCTCCATAGCCAGTGTAAGGCACAGTCAGAAGATTCGCCTCAGAAGCTGAGGATTGGACTGCGATGTAACCGCCGAAAAAAGACAGACGACTTGCGGCATCAGACAAGTCAGATTCGGAGAGGATTGACACTGCCACAGACGCAGATTCACCGCCCTTCAACGTCAGATAGGTGGGAGAAATTGACAGGCTGGCGAAGGCATCACTAATGTTCGGCAGCGAGAAGGCGTAAGGGTTTGCAGGATTGATCACGTAACCTGACCCCGCTGGTAGATGATCCAGCTGGTAAGTGAGCTCCTCGACACCCGTGTTGGCGAGGGTGAAACTTAGGAACGGTGGTCTGTGATCGGTGTCATTGAAAGCAAGATCCGTCACGTTGACCGTCGTGACGCTCCGCACAGCACTCCAGGCATCGACCCTCCCACCTCCTTGCTGCTGAACCGGGGCCTTGATAGCATGAACCTTGAAGTTTGGAATACCATCGTTGTAGTCTACAGGACGTGCCGTGGCCACGATAGCATTGCGGATCTGGCGCGGCGACCACTCGGGATGAGCAGACTTCACAAGGGCCGCGACGCCGCCCAGGTACGGGGTTGAGAAGCTAGTTCCGGCCCATACGCCGAGGCCGCCAAGGCGCGCGGGGAACGGCATGGCGACGTACTGCGACGGTCCGAGAACGGCAACGCCCATGTGTGTATCCAAGGCCGGACCCCATGTTGTCCAGGATGATGGCGTGAGGCCTGTCTGGTTGTTGGGTATGAAGCTGAGGTTCATGTTGGCTGATGATGGATCGCCGGTCAGGGAGAGATCTACGCGGCCGTGTTTCGCGAGCAGCGATACGAGTCTTGAGGCTTCGTCGAAACCGATGTTGATTGCCGCACGTACAGAAGGGGTTAGATTCGTACTACCCATGCGGGGGATGCTAAGTGCGTGAACGGTATAATTGGGAGCGTAACCCATGACATATGGTATTCCGTACTTGGTGGTGATATCCAAAGACGCGTCATCGGGGTCACTCCAACATTCGTATCTAGACTGGAGAAGAATCGTAGTTGCCGGATTTGAGGGCGGTTTTGCGCCGGTTGGAAGAGGTCGGCAAGGAGACACAACATCTTGGGGTCCCTCCAGAGCCGCAGGATCGAAAGCGCCAGGCCACCACAATGCCAGGTTGATCTGGGCGGGCATGTCGAATATTTGCGTATCGGTGGGATCACTCGGGTGGTAGTACAATGGACCAGCTTCACCGCCAGCGGTCCAATTCCCTTGCCATGTATACACAGGGACGAGGGAAGTATCGTAGGTGCCGATAGCCATGCCGCCACGACTGGCCGTGGGTGCTCTGATCGAGTACAGCCCCGGACCGGTGTTGCCGGCGACAGTAGTTACGAGAGTGCCGTTGTTGAACATACGCTCTATCAACGTGGGCCAAGGGGCTAGCCTCACGGTTAGCAAGTGAACGCGGTCAATCCGTACTTTAGGTGGATAGATACGCAAGAGTTGCCGAACTTTACAGAACAAGCATCACTTACCTTCAGGGTATTCCAACTCGTAGCTGTAAGGAATGGAAATGATGTCCAGATGCCGCTCGTACATGTGAAGGAAGTCATTCACCTGGTCGTCCCCGTTAATGGGGTTGACGCAGTCAGAGTTGGCGATCGCTTCAAAGGTGGCATCCGGTGCGACACCGGTATAGCCCCATTGCGGATCGCCCTTTCCGCCGGCGATGCCGAGATTCCCGGTGCCGTGCGGGTCACAGCTCCCGGCAGAGTCGTTGGCGCCGGTCCGCAAGTTGGTGGTATATGCGATGTTCGTTGCTACCAGGCCAGGTGCGGTCACATCAATCGCGGCATCCATGATGGCAACGCGGACGTTTGCGCCAGTTACATTCTCCTCGTGTAAGCGCAAGACACCAGTGTCCTCATGCGAAGCCCGGAGAAGCGCGGCCTTGGAGGCGATCCTGGTGCTGTCGACATTGGCTTGCACAGCGCCTCTGCGGCCAGGTTCGTTGATTTCTGGATGCTTTGGCTCTCCGGGTGGGAGTTGCTGTTGCTTTGACGTTCTCTGGTTTTCGAACAAGCCCCCTTCGAAGGGAAGACGCCATACATTTTGGGCATTAGTGATGATAGCGATTGTATCCAACGATGGTTGGTGGAGTTGAATCGCTCCTTCGCCGCATTTCAGCGAGAAAGAGGCTCCGTGAAGAATGTTTGAGTTGTACTCGCGAAACTTAGTGACGGAGCAGTAGAATCCATATTCTACAAGTCCATCCTCGATGGTCAATGGCATACCTTCAGACTATCGCCATATGTTAGCACCTTCAGTCATGGAATGTCCCACAGACAAGGTACCGCACGCTCTCCGTCGTAAAGCCATATTCAATGACATAGCTACTACGAGGTTTTCCACCTATAGGTAATGGGACAAGTGCAGCGGTGAAGCCTGCAAAGATGAGTCCGAGATGTCGAATGCAGCGCATGATGCGCAAGCGAATGTATGAGAATTAAGGACTTCGACATTGACGACAGTCTACCATACACATATCTGATAAAGATGCTTAGTGAGGTTTTATGTACTAAGGATCTTATAGGTGGGTTTAGGCTTCGCAAAGGTAGCATATCCATCCGAACCGGCCGACATCAGACCGCTAGGTCGAACTCTAGATAGATTACAATAATCAGGATTCTTGCTCTCCTTCTCAAAACAGCCTGGCACCTCGCGATGTTTTTAAAGTAAGTAAGGATTTGATCCGATACCGAGCTTCGTGGGCGGGTCTTCCCGGCTTACCTCTACACCCGCGCATGCCACGCGTGCCGCGCTTCCGATGGGTGTTGAAAGGTACGCCATGAGACCATTCAACAATTCTTACGATAGCTTTGCGACTAGGTCATGACCTCAGCTTTGGTACCGTGCGCCTTCCACAGGGCAAAGCTTGCTGCCTCGTCAAGATGGCTGTGCCAGTGTAAGCATTCTTCAGAGCATCTAGGGGTTGCACGGCCGATGGAAATGGCATCATATAGAGCGTGATGAATGATCAGAAAAAGACCGAGCCATAGCAATCCTCGAACCGCATTTCGTAGGTGCAAGTTGTTTCCGAGAGCGAGGGAATCGTTGTCAGAATGAATCGACTGCGCATTCTCTGGCTCGACTAGACTTTGGGACCAAACTCGATAGAATTTGGCGTTGAAGGGAAATCGTACAGGACTACGTTTGGACAAAATAATTGATTCAGCACTAGCATTGAATGTGTCAAAGGGGCGCTGTAAGTATGCCAGATGTCAGGTTTGTCAATGCTTTAGTCTTAGTAAAGAGCTTAATGCCGCCTATCTATAGTAAAGCGGCTGGAGCCTTCTTATATTTGGATTTGCATACCTACGGAGATATCGCTTCTATTAGCTCACCAACTTCAAAGTCGCCTGCAGTACCTCCGGCTTGCTCAGGCCGTAGTCTAGCCGCTGCAGCCTACAGAGGGCTGCTCAGGCTGTAAACCATACAGACCTGCTACAGGAAAGGGATCTGCCTCGACAACATAGACGGTACGGCTGAGCAGCTTTGAATTCCTAGTGCAAGGCAGACCCTGAGGCGAATTGATGTATCGTATGTCTTCTCAACTAGGAAACATCATGAACTCTAAGTATGAGGAAGGCGATCATGAAAAAACGGGAAGAGTACAATAGTCCATTGCGACACACCCGACGGAACTTCAGCTCGCTAACATATGGGACCATAAGTCTTCGGTCTCCTCACATATTTCCATGTCTTTTTTCCGTATTTCTTAATAGTCTCCGAGAAAAATGCGACTAGCCCTATAATGAGAGAAACTACGCTTGATACTAAGACTGTAGTAGCAAATGTCAATTCTTATCAAGTACACATGCAGGAAGCTACGCTAAACGAATAAGACTTACATATCACAAGATACGCCCAGGTAGGCGTCTGGAGAAAGGAAGAAACGTCTAGAGCGAAGAGGGATGAGAGGAAAGATAAAGGAAGCTTGGAGAGCTAGTCAGTGTGCAGGCAAACAATCCTTCTCGACATAAACAACTTACGAAGAGCAAAGTTGCAAAGGTGAAGACCACAAGGACCTTAGATTGTTTTCCTGCTAGTTCTCCTTGTCTGACAGCTAGCCTTGCTTGGTCCCAAGCCAGTTTTGCTTGGTTGTTTGCAATTTCGTTCTGTTGTAGAGAAATCGTTGCGTTTACCTTTTGCCCATTCCGGATCAGTGAATATACTGGTACGTGACCACTGACACATTGGCACCAGACTTACCGCCAACTGTATTCTGTCCGCAACAACGTCCAACTCTATTATATTGCTCACCACCTGTGCCGCGGTGAGATCTGCATTCTTTACCTGGCTGGGGGTCAATTTCCTTTGTACACTTTGCTGGTATTGCGCGACTGATTTGAGAATGTTCAACTCGTCGCGGACATCTTTGATGTCACTGTATAGTTTCTCCGCCTTGTTGATCGCAACCTCCATATTGCTACTGATCCGTGCGGCTTCCCATTCTCGAAGCAGTTTTGAAACTCTTGAATCGAGCCCGTCCTGCTCGTTCTGCAGCCGTTCCCGGTATTTGAATGAGTTGTAAAGTGCTGTTTCAGCCCTCCCCTAACTATGTTGTCAGCTGTTTCATGCTAGTGTGTTGCTAATGAAAGGAATGAGATTACAATTTGGTTCATGTGATTTGAGTAAATTTGACTGATTGACAGTTGTTGTCCAATCACAGGCTTTGAACTCCCAGAAGGAACAGTATCGATAGGAGGTTTGTGCGGTTGTATTTCACTGTTGGGGCGTCTCTCGTATGAACCAATGCAGTAATCGGCTATCAGTTTTGCCATCTCCACTGCTGAACTTGGCTGGGATTTGCGGCCTCCGTATTTTGCTTGCTTGCTGAGCTGGTCAAGGATTCCCTCCACCAGTGTACCGTGGCATTTACTGAACAAGCAAGAAGTTGCTGTCAGGAGCCATTCTGACCGTCAAATTCATTAGCTAACAGCAAATCTCTTCTTGAATACAGAAATAGATTCACTTACTGTTGCCGATGGTCCAAATCCACACCTGGTTGACACGAAGTAGCGTCAACTCACCCGTGAAGCCAGAAGCCATGGAAGACACCTCGCTCTGCCCAGTCTGTTCTCTAGTTTCTTCCCTTCTCCAATACTTGGTGACAACCTGATTCCGATTACGATGATCTCTATCATCGGCCGACTTCTGATTCTTTGCGAAATGGTAGTACCACTCGTCGAGAGTCGGCGACTTGTGGATGACCGACTGCGGCGAGTGGGCCTCGTAGGCTTCTAACAAGCTCTTATAGTCTTTCTCCACTTCTCGGTTATTACCTAGATTGACAGAGAAGCAGAAGTAGGGCATCTACAACCTTTTGTCAGAGAGGTAGTGTCGTGGTAGCATGTGATGCCTGAGTTAAATGCTTACGTAGATCGCTGACGTAGCCACCAAATCAGGACTACTCTTTCTAGAGCGGCCCTTCTTGGTAACTTGATTGTTTTTCTCTCCGTATTGTTCTTGATTACGGTCTTCCGCCTTGTCAGATTGTCTTAATACGGCTTTCGGTCTCACGATTCTCGAGTCAGACTTTTCATCTGGGACCTCAAGCCAGCTGTCCTGAAAAAAAGACTTGGCCTCGTAATACTGACGAGGACCACATTTCTCGTCCTTCATGATTCGGGTAAAAAGATCCTGATATGTGAGTGAGCTTGGACGATCTCAAGTTGGACAACCCTCTAGAGAACATGAGAGGACTTGGCCGGGAGCGACACCTACATTCATCCAATCCATCTGTTTTCCATTAGAGATGATCGATTGAGTCTACGTAGAGGCAAACTCACGTTTGTAGCCGGCAAATGTACCCATGTAAAGTCACATACAGGGTCAACCTCATCAACCTCTTCACTTAGTTTGGCGACGGCTGTTTGCATGGCTGTCCAGGTTTGCATCATCTCTTTAGGGCCGACATCGTAAATAACCTCGCGAATGGGTCTCTTGGCTTGAATTGTCCCAGATACGCCCTTGGCTCCATAAAATTGTACGATGGTAGCCTTGAACTTTTCCAAGACGTCGTCGCGGGACTTTTCGATCCTGGATCGTGGTATGTCGTATGCCATGGGCTCTCTATGGACTCGTGCAAAGGGGGGATCGCGGAGTATGTCTTTGAGCGTCTTCAAGTTCTTTGACTCGAAGGGTATCTGATGTGATCCCGGCACCAGCTTCTTGGTGTCCGCCACTTCCTCGTTGTTGCCCCTCCCCTGACCACCGTCGCGTTCTTGGACCCGAAGACCACCTGTCTTGGCTCTGGAGATATCCTCGTAGTCCTCCCCTCGTGACTTCTGGGCACTTGTAGGTGTTACGCTTTGCGGCTCCTCTTGCAATTTCCTCACTTCGCCCAAGGCTTTATCCAAATTCTTCTGGAGCCCGTCTGTTTGTTTGGAAGCAGTGATAAGGAGCCACAATATGAGTGGAAGCCGATCACTTGCTTCTCTGCTACCTGCTCTCTTGACCAGCTCCAGGGTTGACTCTAGGGTTGAACTGAGTGCCGTCTCAGTGTCAGGAGTTTCAGGACATGTGGAAATGAGCGCGAACAGAACCTCGGGAAGCTGCTCGTGGGCTGCCCATCCGATTGCGCTCCAAGCCTTTGAACATGGCGGTAGAACTCCTTGCTTTCTCGGCATTTTGCGCATGAGCAGTTGCGCAATGTGGTGTAGCTCGGGGTCACTAGCAGCCCACTTGAGGGTATCTTTCCAAGCGTCTTCTTGGTCGAAGTCGGCAACTTCCACCAAGTCCGATTCAAGCAAGGTTGCCATCACAGCAGCCCGCCTTTGTACTCCAAGACGAAGAGCGGAAGAGAGTACTGCCTGGATATCGTTGTTGCTGATGGACTTGTCTCTCTGCTCCATCTTTTTCAAAATCATTTCAAAAATAGAGTGCTGACCACATGCTGCGGCAAGACGCAAGGGCGTTTCCTCCCTACAGTTGGAGACTGCGATTTGAGCATCATTTTCGAGCAGAAGCTGTATCGTGGCTATGAGCCGATCAGGTTGTAGCCGAAGCTCTGTATTCGGCCCATCTCCCATTGAGAGATCAAGAAATGCCGATGAAGACTTCAAGGCCAGCTTTTCCTGAACTTCGAGGAGTGTAAGAAAGGCAACATGTAGCGGTGTATTGTCATCCGCGTCTTTTGCGTCTATGTCTGCATTTGCTTCCAGAAGCCATGAAGCGACCTTTTTGTCGCCTTTTTTACTTGCTAGATGCAATGCCGTCTGTCTAGATGCACCAAAGACATTGACATCTACGCTTGCCAGTAACTTGACTAAGCTCTCGCTGCCTTGATCGACTGCCAGGTGCAAAGGTGTCTGATCGTACGCATCCTGCAGGGTAGTCAATGTAGCCTCCACATCGAGCAGCAACTTGGCAATTTCAAGATGCTCTCCAGTCACCGCTGCATGTAAAGCAGTACGCCGGTCCACATCCGACAAGTTGAGGTCTGCACGGCCTCTGGGGTTATCCGTGTTGAGAAGAGCCTTGACTATATCTTCAGAACCCCAGAAGCTAGCTGCTATTAGAGGTGTTGCCAATGACTGCACAGTCTGAGCATCGCAGTCTGCTCCGGCATCGATCAAAAGGACCACGCCATCTAAGAATCCGTATATGCTTGCCCATAAGATAGGAGTCCGTCCCGTTAGGCTACGTTTCTCTAGTTGAACCATCACATCGCCGCTGTACTCTGATGGAGGCTTGAGAAGCTTTCTCATGACTTCCACCTGCTGCTCCCGAGTGGCCGTCATCAAAGGTGTGAAGCCTTTGTGATCTTGAGTTTCAAGGTCGGCGCCAGCCCTGATAAGCTCTTCAACGGCACCGACGAGGCCCTTCTCAGCCGCAACGTGAAGAGGAGTCATACCCATGTCATCTTTGACGTTGACTTCCGATTCGTACTCTTTAATCAATTCGCGGAGTGATTTAGGGTCGTCCACGGCTTCGGGGTGCGGATGATTCGCCATTGTCAAAAGTTGTTGCATCAAGTGAGACTGCAGTTGATCATTCGCATACTGTGGGTTGCTGTTGGAGTCGGAGGGTTGGTCATCACTTGAGTCGCTGGAATGTGATTTGCTGTCAGTCTCATCGACGGTCGGATGAGCTATCTCATGAGGCTCTGAACCCAAAGCGGCGACAGCAGAGTCTAGTTCAGACATCATAGCGGTTGGGGATGGTCGAGATGGGTGGAAGCAGACTATCGGTAAATGATCGATAAAGAACTGAATTCGTGAGAATTGATTTCCCATGTAAGCTCAGACTGAGATTGGAATTGGGGTATCCAAAGGAAAAGATGTTGAGGCTCTGAAATGCCAGAGACCAAGGAGTTCTCATATTTCTACGGCGTGCGCTTCTCTATTTTCGCTTTCGTTACTCTTTCCAAGAATAATGCGCGAATCAAGTCGCCGCCTTCATGCAAAAGCTATCTAATCTACAGCGTGATTTCGACTTGAGATTGACGTTACGCAGCAGGTGATATTGAATTATTGCTGCAGCATTCATGCGGGCCTCGCATGGGTAGTTCATTACACTCTCCAAAGCTTTGTCAGCTACTGGGGTATGTCTATTCATCCCTCCTAAAGTAAGTGATTCCAACGAACGAGCAAAATTTACTAGGTAAGACGTCGACACAGGACAAGCTCAATTGCATGTTTGTGATGCCTTGGTTCTACTCCAGGTGGACGCGGTGGTCAAGGTCGAAATTCTTGTAGGCGTTTGAGAAAGCCAGCCATGACATACCTGCTAGCCTCACTTCACTTTTTTGTCTGGTTCCAATCTTGGTCAACTTGAGATATGACCTGTCCGAATGCATGGAGCTTTCAGCCCCGACGCAAATCTGCTTAGCACTTCCCGTTTTCGGAAACGTGTGCATACTATCCACCGTCAATCGTTGGTTCGTTAGCCGTTCGTTCACGAACCTCATGGAACCCATTCCTTGGACTCTCTTTCCCTGGCGTTCTCTCCATGCGGCACGGAATCCTCGCACACCATCTGCGGATGCAGAAAACCCAAGCAAAGACCCCTCAGCATCCCGCCCTTCTTAGATTGACTCACGGAGCACGTCATCAACGTCTTGTGGTGCCCCAGAGGCGGGCCCGGCACGTGATATTATTGTCCAACGCGGTTGAATTCCAACGCGGTTGAATTCCAACGCCTTTGACATCTTCTCATCAGCTGGTCTCATCATGGAGCTGACCGATATGTACGGCATGCCCCTCGATAGGATATGTATATCGACGTTGCGGAGGACTGAAGTTGTTGCGGCATTTGTGACCCGGTTTGTGATTTCGTGACGGCCGAGGAACCGCCTCCACCAGGGAGTTGGCTTGCGGATGTTGCATTGACAGTAGGGCATTGCGTGAATCTGCTTCATCATTCACGTGTAGAGGGACAGATGGATTTCGTTACGTTCACCTCCAGTGGGGGTATTTGCTCTCCACGTTGGCTGGTTTCTCTTGAATGCCATGCATGAGATGTGGAATGAAAATAAGGGTGTAGAAGAGCTCACTAGTACTTCTCAGTGCGACAACTTCATCCTGCCCCGACTTTTCATCTGCCAGAAAGCCGAAACTCCACGATATCTTGGCGATCAATCGCAGTGAAGCCGCCTCGTATGCCCTCTCGTGCTTGGACCAGTATGCCGCCAGGTGGAGGTCCTTCTTCTCTGGGTATGCAACTCCGGACTGCGCGATGGTATCTATTATCTCCGGCGAGAGCCAGTACTCGGCTGCCACCGTAAGGGCGAGTGTACAGTCACATTTTACGGCTGGAATGGCAACAGTCGGGATCAACTTCGGCGGGGCTTCTCTCATCTCCACGTTCAGACTATTGCCATGGAGTATACGGCACATGGCTTACGTGGCCTTGGGATCGTCGTCCAGAAAGGGGAGGCGTGGGGAATCTGACGCCACAGCATCGTGGCTGTATTTTGCTATCGGTATGTTGGAGGCAAGGATGGAAGAGGCATTGATTAGGATGAGGAAATAGACGCATATATCATATCTAGATCGGCCGGCGACGAGAATGAGATCGCCTATTGGTGCCGGTGTTGTACTCGTCGGTGCGAAGGTCCCACTTTTGCCTTCAACACTGCGGTGAAAGACGATGTACTGGTCAGAGGACTTTCCAGTAAGGGGATATCACGAGTTTGAGACTTTTAGCTTGAGCGAGGTTGCCAAGTGGGTGACGAAGTAAGATGCTGGTCAACATTACACCCTGATGCCTACTTGCCTATTTACTATCCCTAACTTTCTGATTCTTTTGATATTCTCCAAGTTTGTACCATCTTTGCTGTTTTTATTATCCTTCACACTACATTTTAGCGTTCTAAGGAACAGCGCTAGGGCGGTTTGGTAATACCAAACGTTATCACGACTCCATAGATGAGGTCGCCCTGTAGGAGGACTTACTGTTGTCAAGAACTGCATCATGTTGCCATCGAGTTCGGACAACTATTGGCTTAAAAGATGGCACCGATACTCATTGAGGGTCAGAATGTCAATAATCGCCTTGATTGTTGTCATTCAATACATCTCAGGAACAGTTTGTATAGCTTGACGATAACTTGATAAATGAAAAAGATTGGGCACATCACCAGATGTGATGATGAGTTGAGTGGTGAGGTGAGCAGATGGCAGTTGGCACTGTGTTTTCCATGGCGGAGACGCTAAGACCCAGGGTTTTGGGCGGATCTCTCCGCCCCGTCCCTGCCGCAAGTCCCGCTGCAGAAATCGGCCCCGCATGGGGCACAGTGCGCCGGCTTCCGAGACTCGTACCTTTCTTTGGTTCACTTTCTTTTTTCACTTCAAGTCTCATTCCGCATCAACTTGAACCACTTCACTCCCGAAAGGAAACACCACACTCGTTTCGTCGTCATGGTGCGCACAAGGCCCCGCAACAAGACCAAACGCGTCGCCATCATAGACTACGGCTCAGACGGCGAGCCGCCAGAAGAAGCCCACGATGACCCAGAAGACGAAAATTTCGAGGCGCCGCCGCCGGACCCGGAAGACGATGATGAGGACGACCGAATGGACGTCGACGGGGGCGACGATGATTTCGAGGCAGAAGATCCATCCAACCTAGCCATTGATGACGGGTCACGCAGAAGAGGCAATGACAGTGACGAGGAGCGGCCCGCCTACACCAGCTCCGCCGGGATCAAGAAACGCCCGACGGATATGACCGCCCTCGACACCTACCACGCCGACGGCCGGCCTACGCGCTATTACACCGGCGAACTCAAGCGTGGTCAGCGGATTCAAGTGCTGGACTTCTTTTACGGGCCCGAGGCGGAGGCTGTTGGCGTCGCGAGTTGGTTGCTGAATCGGTGGGCTGGGTATGCGGTGCTGCCCAGTAAATTACCCGATGGGCCTGCTCATCCCGTGCTGAGTCCGTGGCTCGGAGAAGGGTTCAATGAAGACCAGCAGCGCGCTGCGAAGAGCTGGTTTGAGAGGCTGAAAGGCACCAAGGGGGTGACCGAAGCCGAGAGGGAGATGGGGGCGATAGAAGCGGAGGGGTACCGGTTGAACCCGGGCGGTCACTTGGTCTCCGTGATCGGGCCGTATCAAAACCAGCAAGAAGTCGAGATTCCGCCGTACGATAGCGTCGTACTTGGCGAGATGGGGCAAGTCCTGACGAAAGACGCCGGCGACGAGCAGAAGTCTTCTGGATGGATGTTCGATGTGGGTGGCATGGTTATCGGAATGGAATGGGCCCCAAGAACAGAGGGGGAATCGCAGATTCTCTCCCTCGCCGTGGTCCCGCCGACGGACCACCAAATGGGCCTCGAGGACGCTTACAATGAGAAAAAGGGTATCGTGCAGCTGTGGGAGCTTCGCGGACAGAAGGACGGCGACGGCATCTCAAGACCTGCCGCACGCCCTGCGCGACTTGCCAGGACGCTGTGCGTCGACTGGGGTAGGGTGAAGCGGCTCAAGTGGTGCCCTGTACCCTTCAGGGAGGACGGCTCTTTAGGCTTACTTGCACTGCTTTGCGGCGACGGGCAGGTTCACGTCGTCTCGGTCAAGGAAATCGGCGACCGAGAAGAGGACGCATTCAGTAAGACCATGTACTTCCCTGCCTCTTGTGTTCTTTACACTGACTAATTCCACAGCAAAACTCGAAAACTCTGTCGTATCCCTCGGCGTCTCCTCAGAAACCAACGTGACAGCAAGTTGCTTCGCCTGGGTCAACACAAACCGCATCGTTCTAGGCCACTCAGACGGCTCCCTGACCCTCTGGTCCATCTCCCCGCGCATCTGCCTCGCCCGCCACGACGTCCACTCAACCTACGTGATGCACCTCGATACGGCGTACCCCTCGGACCCGTACCTCGTCGCCTCGACCCCGATCGCAGGCTACACCACCCTCGTAGACCTCTCCGACCCCTCGTGCGAGCGGACAAGCTTCCCCTGCTTCGCCATCACGCCGCAGCCGAACCTTATGCAATGGAGTGACCACCTACGCGGCTTCTTCACCGCCGTGCCGTCCGCGAACCCGCTCAACGCCTCTGTCGGTTTCGTCCACGCGCGGTGGTACGCCGCGCAGGTGCGGAAAGTCATGGACGGGGACCGGCTGCCGACGTGTCTCGCTGTCGGCGCGCAGCATCCGTTTGTGCTGGTGGGGTATACCGACGGAACGGTGTGGGCTGCGAACCCGTCGAATCGTATCTTTGCTTCGAAGCATCATTTCGGGCACAAGATGAAGGTTCTCGACCACCAGCACATACCACGCGAGAGGCTCGACGCGGAGGTGGTGAACGGGCACGAGGGCGGGAACACAGCGGACCGGTGCCGTGGCGCGTCGAGGATATTGCAGGGGTTCCGGCCGGTGCCGAATGTGAATCCTAAGGTGGACACGTGGAAGACCAAGGTTGCGATCAACAAAAAGAAGGATAAGAAGGGCAAAGCCAAGGCTAAGGGTAAGGGTAAGGCAAAGGGGAAGAAAGGCGCTGCGGCGGCGGCGGCGGAGGCTGGAGAGGAGGACGATGCCGATGTACAAGGCGGTCAGGAGGAGGTTGATGGGCACTTTGCTGATCCCGAGCGGGCCGTGATTTCGGAGCCGTTGACGCGGATCACAACGATGGCGTGGAATCCGAATATGGAGTACTCGTGCTGGGCGGCTATTGCGATGGCGTCTGGCCTGGTGAGGGTCATTGATTTGGGATTGGAATGCTAGAGAGAGAGAGAAACCTCCCAAGCATAGAGTAACATAGGTGAAACAGGCAAGAAGTATGAATGATACCCTCTATTATCAACCTTCTATACAGTAAAAAACATCATGTATCCGAGACTCATGAACCTCATTACACCATCTACCACCATCTACAAACCCCTCTGATCAGAAACACTTGCCCCCTGTAACAGTATGATGATAATCAAAAGCCTTAGCCATGCCATACAAATGCGTCACGGCGGCCATCACCACAAAAAAGTGAAAAATCTGGTGCGAGCTGCCCCAGATGTCAAACGTCCGCGGGAACGAGCGCTCCGGCCAGCGGAAGGCGTACAGAAACGCGCCAAAGATGTACATGAGGCCGTGCAGGACGACCCAGCTGAGGCTCATGCGGTCCTCCATCTCCTGGCGGCCGTAAATTGTCAGGCCGTGGAGGACGGGGACAACGCCCGAGGTGCCGAGGGCGGTGAACATGCAGGCGCGGAAGGTGCGCCATTCTGGGGCGCGGAAGAATTCGATCCAGGAGACTGCGCCGCAGCCTAGGCCTAGGAGGCAGATCTTGGGAGGTTATGTTAGTGAGATTTGACATTTGAGGGGTGGTTATATCATGAGGAACAAGTGAAGGGTGAGTGAGGGATGCGTGAGTGAGACGTACCGTTGTGAGGTAAAACTTGAGCAACGCAGGATGGCAATAAAAGCCGTAATACATGGCCGGCACATAACTGCCCACAATAAGAAACACAATCCCCGAATAATCCAGCTTATTCCCCCACTTCGCGACCTCGGGCGAATGGTTGCTCATGGCGTGGTACGTGGCACTCATGCCCAAACACGCAACGGCGCCGGCGAAAAAGCACCCAAAGACAACCATGTCGGCATCGCTAGCCGACTCGTAGCGCGGCGCGATAACGGCATACAGGACCGCGCCGGTAATCACGAAGGCGACGGCGCCGAGGAGGTGGGACCAGATGTTGACGGACTCGTTGTGCAGGTACCCCAAAGAGCGGAAGGAGGCGCGGTACGAGTTGGAGTCTGGGCGATAGCCGGTGATGATGAATTGGTTGTCGCGGCGCCAGGCGGGCAGGTCGTCCCAGAGGACGAGGAGGGCCTTTTCGACTTTGCGTTCGAGGGCGGCGGCGGAGGATTCTACTGTTGATAGGAGGGTTGTGGTGTCGTGGGAGGAGCGCCGGCGGTTTCTGAGGCCGGCTGTGCCGTCGGCTATTTCTGGAGCTGTCATTTTGGTGGTTTATTGTTTAGGTTGATGGTATCTTTTGGTGTTGTTCTTGTCTATATGCGTCGGAAATCAAGAGAGAAAAAAGATGTCTATAGTAGCATGTGGTGTGGTCCTTCTTAAGCATTTCAAGGCCGTTGAGATATCACGGGCGCGCACGTTCAACAAAGGCACATAAGGTAAGGTGCTGCAACTGCGATGACGGATTGACGCCTAGCGCCGGGTGTGCGGCGGCGGGTCAGGCCAGGGGTAGCTACGTAAAAGGGAGGGCCCTGATTTATTGGGATGGGAATTGTTGGGATTTCCTCTTTTTTTCCTGCTGGCATCTGCATTTCCACATGCTTGAAGATTTTCCTTAGCAGCAACAGCAGACGGCACCAAATCATGTGTTTTTCTCTCGGTCCGCACCGAACGGATCCGAGGCCGTTGTCATCACAAGTGCCGCCAGCTGGAGCCGAGCAAAGAATGCGCTGAACGGTCGGCCCGTCGGTCAGACTGGACCATCCGCCGGGAAGAGAGCGGGCATCAGGTGAGACAATTGGACATTTGCCTTACATAAGGTAAATGTGCCTCCAAAGTTCAAGGTAAGCATGTGCTGCTGGACAGTCAGGCGTGAACATCGACTGTGAAACGGGCACTGGATGGAGAAGAGAGCGCCGGTGGGTTCTGTGGGAGGTGACTCTCGAGCGCAAATCTTTGCTACGAGTAGCAAAAGACGACGAATACCCGCGGGCGCATTTCCACTGTTTAAAGCCCCCCGCCTGTTCCAGTTTTTGGACGTTGCACTGCAATTGCAAGAACGAAGATCCTGAGTCCGATTTTCGAGTCTCGAGTCAACACAATTACAGTCTGACACTTCAAGAGACCTCAGAGCATGAAAAACAACAGTCAAGGTAGCCGGCATCATCCATGTCGATTTTGTCAAAGATCGAGAACTCTTTTGATATCATTTCATTGCATGCTTGTTGTAGGTATGTAAAAGAAAAAGCGCTCCTCCGTGGTCCCGGCCTTTGGTAAGTCGGGCACCGTTCTTGTTGTGTGCGCGCGGTCGTCGACTTCTGGTTATTTCGCAATCCCGCCCACCCAGCAGCCGGTTTATTTCTTGCCGCTCTTCTTGATGCCCTGGGTACCGGTGTTGAGAGGTCCCTTTCCGCCGGCCTTGGCGGCCATCTCCTTGCGAGCCTTCTCCTCTGTTATCGTACATTAGTCTCCATCTGCAAAGAAACTTGAGACGGGAGAGGGAATGTAGCATCCGTCCCGTCAGTACACGTGCGGGACCTACCGGCGCGCTTCTTCTCGAGGAAAGCGAGGTCGTCCTCGTCCATGTCCTTCTGGGCCTTCTTCGCGGCCTTAAGAGGCTTGGCCTTGCCACCTGTTGTTGTGAGAAAATCATTGTCAGCAACGCAAGGACTGGGTTGGAAAAAGCTGGGTTGTCCCATCTTATGCGACGGCAGATTGCTTACCTTCACGGCTTGCACCACCCATTTTTGCGAGGTTGTCGAGGAAGAAACTGGGTTGAAGATCGGCTTTGGGCGAGGAAGAGCGGTGGACAGTCAGGCGAAGAGGCAGAATCTGGAGTCGCAAATGTTGCACAGTCGTAAAGTCGAAAGGAGAAGAGGAAGCGCGGCGTAGCGAGGCGGGCGGACGTGGGGTGAAAATTGCCCCTCCTCGACGAATCGGTCAAGGGTCCCCGTTTATAAAGATTTGTTATGGTTTATTCCTTTCCGAGAGTAATATGCAGTTATATACTATATGCAGGTGACCCAGTGTAGTGGAGCCGGGACATCCACGGAACATTCCAAGCTCGACGTCGGTGTGGTCGGCTGTGTTCCGTGCCACCTTGATTTCTCCGGCGCGGCGCCAGTGTCTCGTCACCACCGAAAATCACCACCTGTCGACCCTTGATCGCTGGAAGGCACCGAGTCGTCTCGACACAAACAACACTGCTCTTCCTTGGCATTGCATTACGACACTTGATCCTCCTTCCCCCTCCTCTTTTAATTGCCCTCTGGTTTTCTAGTGTCGCCTTTGCTTCCTTCTTTCTCCCCATGAGCTGAGTCGACACAGTCATCCGGTTCGCAAACAATTCCTGCCGCACATCAATCTTCTGGTGATCTCTGCTGACACGTCGCTGCTGCTTTTTGCGCGCAAAAAGACCTAGGGGATTCCTTCCTCTGGCGGATCACTGCTGCAAAACTTACCTTACGCAAGGAACGTGCTTGTCTGCACACGGTCGAGACTAGAGCTCAAGAGCACCGCACTTGCTATCGCATTGCAAACATGGCGTCGAGTTCCGACGAGGGCGAGATCATGGAGAATGACGCCGTGGATTTGAAGGCAACTTCACTGCCGAAGAAGTTTGAAGGAAACGGTGTTGACCGTCAAGACAGAACTCGAGATAGACGCTCGGCCTCCAACTCCCCCGAGTACGACAGTTCCGCCAGAAACAACTACCACTTTTCGAGACGCAGCCGTTCCCCCCCGCCGCCCCGCGGCTTTAAGCGCGCCCGTGACGAGCGTGACTACGCTGGTGGAGGACGACAGGAAACCCGCCGCTTCCGCGTGCATTACGAAGACGGCGCAAGGGATGACTACCGCCGCTCACGCGTATCGTACGAAGACCTAGACCGCCCGCCGTCCCGCGGCTCGAACACCAGCTACGACGGTCGCGACAGGAACCGCAGCCGCGAGAGAGACGCATACAGAGACAGGGACAGGGAGCGCGATCGCGAGAGGGACCGATACCCGGATAAGAGACAGCGTAACCGTACCAGGTCGCCCTACCGGCCCCCGCGCGGTGAGCGAGGAGGTCGCGATGATCACTACGCCAGAGACGGCGGGCGCGATCGTCTCACCGATTCGTTCCGCGGCCTAAAGTACGATGACAACAGGGACCGAAACGCCCGAAACGGAGGCGCGGCGCCGAACGGGGTCGCTGTAGGAATGGATTCGCGCGCTTCCAGACAAGATGCTAAACCTGTGAAAGACTCTGCAGACCGTGAAAATTCTGCGGCTTCTCGCTCTCGGGGCCAGGCGTCCGTCTCCCCTCCTCCCTCCAAGAGGACTCGGTTCCTGCTAACGCCCGACGATAGCGCTCCGCAGGTGGTGGAACCTGATCATAGCTACGATGAGCCCGAGGAGCCGATGGTCATTGACGAGGAAGCTGAGATCGAACGCAGGCGACGACGCCGTGATGAGCTACTCGCAAAGTCTAGTTCAGCTACTCCACTGCTTATTCACGCATTGCATGCGACTGACAAGTCGGCGATTCCATCACCAGCCCGGGAAAGCACTCCAACAGCGGATATTGGTACCCCAGGCACAGGTAAGAATCTTGTCCTCCAGAGTTTGACAGAGGCTAAGTTTGCAGACATTGCCTCACCAGCCCGAGACGGGAGTTCGCCTGGCGCTATTGACATTGTGAATGAGAGTGACCTCATGAACACTCATGGCGGTGGCGACGCAATGGAAGAGGACGGCCCCTCAGCTGCAGATTACGATCCCACGGCCGACATGAAGGAGGACGAGAGGCGCGATGAACTGCGACACGGCAACGTGGGCGTTCATGGCGAAGCTCCTGACACAAAGCACGAGACGCAGCCACAGGATCAACCTCAGGAAGCCCCCGCGAAGAAGTCATCAGAAGACGACGACGACGATGACGATTTCGACATGTTTGCTGAAGACTTCGATGATGAAAAGTACGCCGCACCTAACCCTGTCAAGGTAGCTGTGGTGGACGAGTCCAAGGCCTCACCCGCTCTTGCGCCGACAAACGGAGCCATTCTCGAGGGCGACGACAAGGACGGTTATTACAAGCTTCGCATTGGCGAGATCCTCAACGGCCGTTATCAGGTCCAGTCGGCTTTGGGCAAGGGTATGTTTTCCGGCGTTGCGCGGGCCGTCGACATTACGAACAAAAAACTGGTCGCTGTCAAGATTATGAGAAACAACGATGCGCTGAGGAAGGGAGGTTTCACCGAGATTGCCATTCTGCAAAAGCTCAACGACGCCGATCCAGAAAATCGCAAGCACATTGTCAAGTTTGAACGGCATTTCGACCACAAGGGTCACCTGTGCATGGCGTTTGAGAACCTGAGTCTTAACCTGCGCGAAGTGCTCAAGAAATTCGGCAACAATGTCGGTATCAACTTGAGTGCTACGCGAGCATACGCCCATCAAATCTTCATTGGCCTTGCTCACATGCGCAAATGCAGTGTCATCCATGCAGATTTGAAGCCTGACAATATCTTAGTAAGTATTGCCAATGTTGGCTGTTGAACAAAGAACTCAACTAACCGTCCGTAGGTCAACGAGAGCCGAAATGTGCTCAAAATCTGTGACTTGGGAACCGGCATCGACAAGTCTGACGCAGCCACGGCGCACAACGAGATCACCCCGTACCTAGTCAGTCGCTTCTACAGAGCACCAGAGATCATTCTCGGTATGCCCTACGACTACTCCATCGACATGTGGTCCATCGGTGCCACCTTGTATGAGCTGTACACGGGCAAAATCCTCTTCGCGGGCGACAGCAACAATCAGATGCTCAAGGCCATCATGGAGATCCGTGGCAAGATCACGCCAAAGCTCTACAAACGGGGTCAACTCTCGGCGATGCACTTTGATGAAATGGGCAATTTTGTCAGCATGGAGCGGGACAAGGCGCTTGGAAAGGTACGTTATTGGTTCGTGGTCTCGGTGTTTGTTGTTTTGCTTGCATCTGTCTTTCACTCCTCTTCCCCATATCTCAACGCCTCTGCATTCTGTCTCGTTTCAAAACTTGAACCCATGACCCAATCATCCCTCAGAGTTGCTATTTTGGCCGACGGGGTCCCAAGTTGGGTCTAGTGGAGGCGGAGTGCGGCTGTAAGCGCTGAGGCGCGGCTGCACATGCGTTCGCACGTATCCACCCTCCCACAGCTATGCGGGCCGTCCGTCAGTTAAGGCCGAGCGCGTGCCCGGAACGCTCGCGTCGCGATGCCGCCCAGCTGACGGGCTGGTCGCCGTCGACATTGGACCAGTCACGATACTGTTGGAAGCAAACACTCCGGACTGTTCGGACTCGCATGACTTGCTGGGGTGGAATGGTATCCCAGTATGGAAGGCCCGCGAACGAATCCTCCCATCTTCGGAGGATGAGCTGTCTCAGGGACTGTTTGTCACGGCCGCATCATCTCAACTTCGCTCCATATCTAGTTTCCCCTACATACCCCTGTTTTTTTGCCTCTCCGCCACCCCTTGTGTCCTGCACAAAGGGTCCAACGTGTCGGGTCGATTTGTCAAAGTTGATAGGAAATGTTTCCCCCGACCGGAGGGTCCCTCCGCAGCAAGCCTATCCCGGTAGGCCCCTGCTACGCCATTGCATCACTACCTTGTTTTGTCGATGGGCCGATGATGGGCCCTTTTGTTTGAAAATAGTAGTAGAAAAGTTCAGCTGGTCGCTAACGAACATCCTCACACAGACAACCGCCAGGGTCCTGCCCGTCGTCAAACCAACGCGTGATCTGCGCACCCGCCTCTTTGCCGCGTCAGCGGGTATGAACGACGCCGAGACGAGGGACCTGAACCATTTTGTCGACCTGCTCGAGCACTGCTTGACGCTTAACCCGGAGAAGAGGATCAAGCCCGCCGACGCGCTGAGGCATCCCTTCTTTACTGCGAAGGCCGCCGCGCCTGTGAAGAGATGAGGGGCGTGGCGAGTAGTCCCATGTTGGGAAGACGCCGTTGGGTGTGTTTGTAGGATGATGACAGGGGTGTTGTTGTCCCTTGAGGCCACTGCTCTGATTCCAGGGGCACCCTGATCAACCTTGGTCGACAAACATAGCTAGACAGTGTGGCGTGTAGATGTTTGTATGAGGATAAGGGAGGCACAACTCTTACTGCGAAGCGCCTCTTTAGACACCAACAAAAGCATTAGATGAAATGGAGACTACATTGCGTTATGACATGATATGATCACTCCAGATCCGCAGAGTGCCATTTTGCGGAAAAGCCTCGGTATTGGCTTCAGGTACCTTTAGCAACAATGTGCCTGACCTTGGGTGATATTCACCATGGAGTCGGTTGAATATCCACACAGCGCATCCTTCATTCTCATCGCGAGGAACAGTGGCGGGACAGAAGGGAAGTTGCTGTAGTACTAGCTCAAGAGGCCTGGTGCTCTTCTGCTTCCTATCCGAGCATCATGTCCACGTACCTCTAGCCTATGCCTCTCTCTCACCGACCTTGCGAAGTATGGAGCGGGTGAACCAGCGCATTCATGGGTGAATGCTTGAATTCCTGATTCTTTCCTGATTTTTATGTTTCGGTTCCCGTGTCTATCCGTGCTCGTAACAAGGCTTGAGATATCTAAAGAGACTGGACCCTGATAGACCCGTTTACTATGGTAAACCTTTGTTGAGAATGGACGAAAAGGGTCGAAGATGCGAGCCAGTTGACAGATCTGTCATAGTGGAGCGAGGGTCCAAGGGCTCGCGGGGATC